CCATGTTTGTGCAAGTGTCCGCCCGAGCAGGGTTCAAACGTACGTGTTTCTCAGTGGAAAACACGTTCATTGTACTCACATCTGGGTCAACTTGCAGAGCACTTGCGCCCCTATGACTTACGAAGAGGAGCAGCAAATACATTTGATCACAAGCTCTCAGAGTCTGAGCGTAGACTTCTCATGGGTCATAACACTAACTCGGTTATATTTCAAGTAAGTACTAGTGTTATCTTCATAATGTTTCTCAGTGTGCTTATCCTTTTCAGTCCAACTACCAGTCCACTACCAGCACTATAGACGTCCAGTCTGTCTTCCTTGACCGTCCACAGGATAACCACGTCCACAAGGTCAGGCAACTCATTGATAATGAGACTACAGCGTCAAAGCTCACCTTGTATATGACTCAGGCAACGACGTTGATGTCTCTTGGTCTGGACGCCAACGCTCCAACAAAGATCTCTCTCAAGGAACGGCAGGAGATCTTGTTGCACCCCGTCATGTTAGAGGTTGAGAAAGAACGCCAGGAGGTGAGCCTTATTAGAACGCATCACCTATATACCTTATATGCTCACTTAATCTCAGCTACTTGCCGAGACCAAACAGATGCAGGCCGTGTTAGTAACTCTAGAGGACGATGAGAATGACAGCCAGGAAAGCTTGGGGCTTGCTATCAAAATCAAGAATCTGAAGGCGGACGTGGCTAGGCTTTCCTTACAACGCCTCAACATCTATAGCCGTGCCGCCAGTCGCAGGCTGAAGACATCCCGGGAAGAGTACTTTGCAGAACATTCAAAAAGACAATTGCTGGGCAAGGTGATGGCAGATTCCTCTTGCCCTGTTTGTTCTTCTACTAAACTGGTCATCAGACGATCGATCTCCCTGCAAATATGGCTGCAAGTTCAGCAACTTTACATTCCAGTAACGCACGTGAACCAGGCGCTCCGCCTCTGCCTTCTGAGGTCACTCTACACAACTCTCACTTTCACCGCACCACATCTCCATTAGAAGATCTCCTTGCAGTCGTGTACCCGGCCGAACACCCATCCGAGTCAGATGGCGAGGAACCGGTGGAGGATACATGCCAGTGGCTAGGTGCCAGCATTGGCAAAGCGATCCTCACTTTGATGAGCCTACCGGAACAGCGACAGACAGTTTGCTATCCTAACGAGCACCCCGACAACAAAGGATGCTGTCCCGTGTGTGGAGTTCACTTGGCGTACGTGCTTTACACACATGATAGCCAAGCTCCTTCTGACTTTGTATATTTTCAGCGAAACTTCTGTGAAAAGATCACGTGGACTTGGTTGCCACATTCACAAGTGCATCGTAGACGCAGAACAGATTGCAGCCCAAACTGATCTCGAGGATTCATACCAGCCTCAAAGATGCTTTTGGCTGCACTGCGTTCATTCCACCACTGTATGGACGACCCGAGCTACCTTTGTAGCTCACGTGCACGCCCACATTGAAAGCTTAGCAAAGCCAGCAACACGGGGTGGATCAATTCGCCAATGCTCCTGGGAGGGATGCGGGGAGACCAAGGCAGAAGACTGGGAGCAGCATTTTGCAGAAGTCCATGGACTGAACGTCCACCTCCGGGCCATTGTGGAGTACTGCATTCCTTGTGCTAAATGGTAAGTGAAAGACTGGGACTCCAATTTCTACACGTCTAACATTCTGACTCGGAAAGGTGCCATGATACTCTCGGCTACGAATGGGCCATTCATTGCGAAGAACATTTTAGCCAGTTCTTTGCGCCATTCTCTGAGAGGACATCCGCATCTGCCATGCATACGCATGAGGGCATCACTATGTTCAAAGACGCAATTGAGTACGAGCTTGGGACCGGCTTTGGTGGCAAGCAGCCAGAGTTTCACGGGCACGTAGTTCGTTACGTTGCCCTGGCACCCATGTTTTGCATTTGGTGCGTTTTTGATCAGGAGTTGAACATATGCATACGCATGAAACAGTGAGTTTGAAGTCTTCTAATCCGTGTGCAAATAGTAACAGTGGGCGACACCAGACGGACAGATCCATCCGATTTTGCTTCTCACCTCCGTTGCCACGTAGACGCCTTGGAGCCTTCGGCCAAACATGAATGCCCTGCGCCTTCATGTGGGACAGAGATGTTCACTAAGCATGATCTGCTCCACCATCTGGTATGCCAGCATCGGCTTCCGGTCTGTGGTTCCACCAACCACTCGGTCGTTCGGCGTTTGAAGCTACCCAACGACGCTACCACCAACGACGACGCTACCACCAACACAGGGGCCGCTCCTGCCATACCCGCACCCACAGCCTCACGTAGCAGCGGTCAGACATTGAAGAAGGTGGTGCGTGTGGTAGGTACCTTCTTAACATCTCCTTCAGCGCTCTTCACAATTTCTGTGTTTGCTAGGCAGAAAAGAAAGAACGCGTCTGGTGGTGCTACGGATGTTCTCGTTCTATTCATGACATAGATGCACATATGATTAACGCTGGTCCAACTCACCACTGCTACAAGAACGCTCGAGTGGCCCAATGCAAAGATAACCAACCCATTCCAGATACCAAGACTACGTGGACGCCTCCCCAGGTAAGTCCGCCTATTTACCTCCAAAGCTTTGTCTCAAGGTGAGAAACAGGATCCCGAGGCAGTGAAGAAACGCATCAAATCATTTGGCAATCACAAGTGTGGCACATGTCGCCGGCAATTCGAGGACATCCGGACCCACCTTGGCCGTGAAGACTCAGTGTGCAGATCCAGGACGTTCAAAATCCGTGATCCTCAAGAGAAGCGACGCGATGTATTTGGACCCTCTTATAACTTTGAAGAGTGGAGCAAGAACTGTGATAACCCTTCAATGGGGCAGATGGAGCCCCCCGTGCGTACCCACATTCCGATCATATCCATTTAGTAACGCTCATGGGTATTAGACCGTGTCCAAGAAGACCAAATCGACGCGTGACACTAAAGAAGCAGTATGTTCACGAGCTCTTTTCCTGTCGTTCTACGTCTTACTGATCACACTGTAGAAGTACAAATGCCAAGGGTGTCGTCAGTCATACGTTGACATCGCAGCTCACTTTGCCAAGATTCGTAAACCCACCTCCAAATGCGCCCAAAAGGTATTTTCCATCAAAGGCGACGATGGCAAATGGAACGGCCCCTCCATTGACTATGCCACGTGGGTCCTTGACCCGAGTGCTCGTAGGGAGCATTCACAACGCCGCGACCCATCTACTAGTGATGTCGGCATCACTTCCACTGCCAGCACGTCCAGACTGCCCGCTCCCTCTACCTCCATGACAGCAACGGCACCTTCATATTCGCCTACTCCCAATATCATCTCCACTCCATCAATGCACGCAGCGCCTTCTTCAAATTCTGTTCCTTCCTCCATGCATACGTCAGCCCCATGTCCGGGGACACCTTCACCCAATGTTTCAGCATTGCAATTGCTATCCACTTCTGAGCCTTCTTTTGCCATTAATGACATAGTCCAGGAGATGGCGGCGTTACCAGCCTCCCCAAGGATTGCCTTCCGTGCTCCCGCCCCACCTACTGCATGCACTTCTACGACGAACAACTTTTCACCGGTCTCTCAGTTTCTCGCACATACGTCTGCTCTCCTCAGGGCCGCTCATATTTCTGTGAGTGTCAATCTTGGCCGCCATTTGAACGCCTCTGATTCTCTGACCCATTTACAGGGTGAAAATGCTGTTCAAAACCTATCTCGTGTTATCGACTTCATGGGGGACTACCGAGGTGACTTGGATGAAGCACGGGGCATCGTTTAGCTTTCCATCACTCTACTCTGTCAATGACTTGCAATCGTTCCACAGCCAAGCGCTAGTCAGTTGTCCATTTCCCCTACTCCTCTTTACCGCAATTTTGCAGCTTCCCCTCACCAAGTGTTATGTGAACACCAGTAAAGAACTGAAAATGTAGTTTGTCTGTCGTGCAGCATAGTCCTTTATTTGTAATCGGTAGCCTGCCATTTCATTTCGAACGCTACATATCAACTACGATTACACTGAGACTTGCAAACAAACACATGAGACAGGGACAAAGACGTGCAAAAGCAAGAGACATGGATGATTACAACGAGGGAATGAGGGAATGAAGTCGGCTGTACAAAAAAGAGCTTGGTGTGAAGGCTTGCAAGCTATGTCGATGACGGTTCGGTAACGGGACTCGGTGCATTCGGTGCGATCGGTGCGTTCGATGATAGTGTTCTACGCTTCGTCAGTGCTGCCTAGGGCCCTAGTCGGAGGGATCTGTGAAGGGCCGTCCTGGAATGAGAATCCAGGGGGGAAAGATGCAACCCTAGCAAAACGATCAAGGATACTCCTACTGAAGTCAAGATACAGTGAATTCTAAAATGCTTGATACACACTTGTAAGCGTCGCGCTCTGCACTAACAACAGCCAATTGGTGCTTCAAAGCTCTGCAACAGCTCCTTTCAACCGACATCTGCATGGGTGGATATACCATCCGGGTAAGGCAAAAAAAGAAAGCGCATCATTAGACATATACCTGTGGTGACATGGGACGTTGCAAGCTCTCAAATGGAGAGAGGGGGCTCAGTAGCGAGGCGGACGCCTGTTGGGACTCTGTTGATGGAGGTATATCAGTTGTTGCAGTGGCCGGAGTCATAGTATAGAGACCAAGAGAGTTGTTTAGAGGGAGCATGATGAGACGAGGGAGAAAGAGATAGTGGACAGCGATGGTCTGTCCGACAACTATAAGTACTGGCCACCCAGATGATGTCATACGAAAGGAACTTCAAAGCCTAAACGCCGACATCTGCGGAAAAAGAGCTCAATGCCAGCAAATCGCACATTTCAGCAGTTTGTGACCGGCGTCCAGTGGTCTAGGGTATTAATCGACGACCACAGACGAAGAGAAGAGCAGACAAACGGTGCATGCAGCGCGTTGAGGCAATCTTCGAGATAAATGTTCCGCCATTGCAAGGAAGATAGGGCTCGTCAAGGGACAGCACGAAACAACTACTAAGTCGGATATGGTGTATCGGCAACATGGCTGTCTTTCATTCGGATCACGTGATGATCACAGCAGCGCCGGGTTCGACTCCCGGTATCCGAACATTTTTTGCTTACTTTTTGTGCGACTGCTCTGATTGCAGTCAATGGCAGAGTTCTCTATAAGTCCACGAAACGTGCGGCCCATGGACGGGCGGGCGGGCGGTGGTCGTCCCCCCGTCTCGCGACGTCGGTGGGTAGGTCGGCGTGCCCGTCCTCGCCTTTCTCTACCTGATGGAGTGACTGACCGACTCGCGAGAGGGCGCTCAGCCTGGCAGGTCTGCACTCAGTGCCTGCCGCTGCGAACTGCAGCATGCTCAGACCCGAGTCGATGACGCACCACCCTTCGGATGTTTCAGATCATGTGCGAGCTCTAGGGGGTGCGCTCGGCCACCTTCGCGCCCTTTGCTTCACTTTCGCCTCCACGACCTTCACCTTCACGACCTAACTGCCATGACTCGCATTGACACCTACAAGGTAAAGTTGCTCTCTTCTCGACCCGTCGCCAAGGTGGGGGATTCCTACTGAGCTTTTCAATCGGCAGGCTGTATCTCCCGCTGCTCGGAAGCTGTCTTTGAGGCGATATGCTGCTGATGTTGCTCTCTCTTTTGGGGCATTCCCTCCATGCAAGGTCCGGTTGGGCCTTGACGCAGCGTGTCTCATCCGTCAGGCCTTGGAAAGTATTCACGCACCCTAGCTTCTCCTGCAGGTAGCCCAGCATGTGGCGGGGGAGATGCACTTTGATATTATAGTCCAGCCCAGCCTTCTTGAACGACTGACAGTACAAGATGTATAGGTTATTCCCGTTATAGGGGACAGTTGGCTCAGAGCCGAAGATGAGCCGAACCCGCCACCATCAGCTGTGGTGAGCCCACGGAGAGCACCGAGACTGAGGACGCCCCACGCCAGCTCTTGTTAAAGATCCAGTCGAAGTTCATCTTCTCCTCAAGCTTGTAGTAATTGAACATGTAGTGGAGGTAGATGGCGATGGCCCCGAGTGGGTCCCGATGGGCGATGAACGTTGTGTACACTGGGTTGATGGTCTGCATTGTGAAAGGCCACGTTGAGTTCTTTGGTGGCAGAACATGCAGGCTTGTCGAGCTCACTGTCCTCATTCCCCGCTTCTGTGCCTTCTCCTCCCCCTGCAGCCCCAGCACGGCAAAAACAGCTGTCTCTTTGTTTGGGTGCAGCCATGTGTAGGGTTGCAGCTCACATAGACGGAGGGCTCCAATGTCGTCCCCTCGGTTACCACTCACATTCCAGCAGGTCTATGCAAGGTGTCCTTGATTGCTGACCGTACTGTAACAACCACGACATCAGCAATGTACGGCCTGCACGAAACAAGCCCACTTACATT